GTCGAATGCGTGACCATACAGGTAGGGGCGAAATTTTCCAAGGGACCAAATAATAGCTAAACACTCTTTCTCGGTCACGGAGTATGTAGTTAGCCTCGGCTTTCGTCAAAGTACGGCTTGCGTAGGCGACGACATATTCATCAAACCCTGCTTTTCGTTGCGCGAGCACAGCGCCAAGTCCAACACCGCTGGCATCAGTATGAACCTCCGTGGGAGCGGCAGGATCGTAGTGGCGGAGGATGGGTGGTGAAGTCAGCAGGTGGCGTAATTTGTTGAATGCATCGTCGCATGCTGGTGACCAGGTGGAAAGGTCCTTGTCACCGCTAAGAAGGTCCGTAAGGGGCGCACATATGGAAGCAAAATTTCTAATAAAGCATCGGAAGTATGACGACAAGCCGACAAAACTTCTAAGTTCCTTCAAGTTCTTTGGCTTCGGAAAATCGGCAACTGCTCGAAGCTTGGCGGGGTCGGGAAGTATGCCGTCCCGCGATACGACGTGGCCAAGAATGGTGAGCTGCCGAGCACCAAAACGACACTTCTTGAGGTTGAGGTGAAGGCCGGCGTCGGTGAGACGTGTGAGGACGTGCTCGAGACGATTTAAATGGGTGTCGAAATCGGTGGAAAAGACAACTACGTCATCGAGGTAGCATAAACATGTGTTCCACTTGAGGCCTCGTAAAATAGCGTCCATCATTCTTTCAAAAGTGGCTGGAGCGTTACAAAGGCCGAAAGGCATAACGGTAAACTCGTATAACCCATCAGGTGTGACAAATGCTGTTTTCGGTCGGTCAGATGCTTCCATAGGAACTTGCCAGTATCCAGACCGTAAATCCAGCGAAGAGAAGTATTCTGCTCCCTGCAAACAGTCAAGGGCGTCGTCTATTCGAGGTAACGGGTAAACGTCCTTGCGGGTGATCTTGTTTAAACGTCGATAGTCCACACAGAACCGAATGGAGCCGTCCTTCTTCTTAACAAGAACGACCGGTGACGCCCAGGGACTGTTAGAAGGCTGTACAATACCCCGCTGGAGCATGTCAGCAACCTGGTCGTCAATAACACGGCGCTCCGACGCTGAGACTCGGTAGGGGCGCTGCCGTAGAGGCGTATGGCTTCCTGTGTCAATCTTGTGAGATATGTTCGATGTGCGACTGAGGCCAGAAGCGTGGCTGTCAAAAGAAGTACGAAACTTTTGCAGCAGGTTCACTAACTGGCTTCGTTCTGACGAAGACGTTGCGACATCGATGGAGCGGTGGAAAGCGTCAAGGAGTGACTGGTCAACAACAGAGTCAGAAATGAGTGCGCTGAGGTCCGTAGAAAGTAAACTAGATGGAGCGTCAAAAATGTGACGGGCGTCGATCGGATGCACGTGACCGAGACATTCACCATAGAATAAAGGTAAAGGCCCTTCTAGCGTATTGTACACGAGCGTCTTCGTGACGCCATGGTGGAGAGTAAGGAGAGCAATGGGCAGTGGAGAACATTTGCGTTGAATGAACAGGGCAGAGGGCGTAAATAAAACATCACCGTCGGAAATAGCGTCACACGACACAGTCACCAGCAGAGAAGAGCGCGGTGGTACGGTGGTGTCGTCGGAAACAAACAGTTTATAACACGACAGGGAGGCTTCGACAGCCTCAACATCAGGAAGTGCAGATAGCTCAAGTTCAGCGCGACAGCAGTCAATGACGGCATTATTATTCGCAAGGAAGTCCCAGCCGAGTATCATGTCATGGGAACACGAGGGCAGCACTACGAATTCGACGATATACACAATCCCTTCGATGACGACTCGTGTGGTGCAGGCTGCGAGAGGTGTTACACTTTCTGCGTTAGCCGTTCTAAGAGAGAGGCCGGATAATGGCGTCAGAACTTTGCGGAGTTTGCGGCACAGGTTCATGGACAGGACGGATAGAGCGGCTCCGGTGTCAACAAGCGCCATGACGATGATACCATCGACTGACACTTCAGTGACGTTAGCTGGACAGGGGCGAGGACTTGTGCATGGCGACGGGGACGCAGTTCGTGCCTCGGGAACTGCGGCCGTTAGTTTTCCTGGTCGGTGGGTCCGGAACGGCGACGCATAGGGGAAAGTGAACGTCGACGTGGAGATGGGGAGCGGGTCGGGCCGTGTGGACGATCAGAAGAAAAGGAAGAGGAAGGAGGGCTTGAAGGCGTAGACGAAAACTGAGGGTCGAAAGATGGCATTCGTCGAATGTTCTGGGCAGCCTGGCGACGACGACAATAACGTGCCACGTGGCCAACACCACCACAAGCAAAACATATGGGACGGTTGTCGTAGGTCCGCCATTGGTCCGAGTAGACTCCGACTTGCGGCTGGGGACCAGAAAACTGCGGCCGAGGTGGTATCGGCATAGGCGGCGGTGAATAGGTCGGCGGTGAATAGGTCGGCGGTGAATAGGTCGGCGGCGAAAAGGGCGGCGGCGAAAAGGGTGGCGGCGAATACATAGGCGCTGGCTGGAACGCAGGCTGTCGAGGTCGAGCAACGGCTTCGGCGTACGTGAGAGGTGCGGCGACTGGGGGGGGTTCACGGGCGGGAGGAAGAAATTGTGCGACCTGGTCTTGAATGAAGTCGCGGAGTGTAGACGGCGATCTGCGTGGTTGATCGGGTACACAGGACATCAAAGAGAGCTGACGAGCGACCTCAGCACGGATGAACTCTTGGATCTTGGAGAGAAGAGGGGCATGGTCTTCTCCTATGCCAAGGGTGGAAAGGCTGGACGAAGAGTCGTCGAGCACCGAGGGACGTCGGGTGGAAAGACGTTGCCTGTGCAACTCGTCAAAACTCTGGCATAATTCGGTCAGTTCTAGGACAGTGCGAGTACTCTTAGAAAGCAACATTTGGAAAGTGTCGTCCTCAATGCCCTTCATGATATGCTTGATCTTAAGCTCTTCGGACATGGACTCGTTGACTCGCTTGCAAAGGTCCAGAACGTCCTCAATATAGCTTGTGAAATTCTCACCAAGCTGCTGGGACCGAGTATGTAAGCGTTGTTCGGCACGGCGTTTGCGTACCTCAGGCCGCCCGAAAACTTGTGTGAGGCTCGTTTTGAAGACCGACCATGTAGGGAGTTCCGCTTCGTGGTTTATAAACCACAGCTTGGCCACGTCCGACAGGTAGAAAGAGACGTAGGCCAACTTGGCGGTGTCATCCCATTTGTTGTGAGTACTCACTCGCTCGTACATTGAAATCCAGTCGTCAACGTCCTTGTCTTCTGTGCCTGAGAAGACAGGGGGATCTCGCAGACGCAGAGAACCGGCGCAGAGAACAGTAGGTGGTGCCGGTGGAGGAGTTGGAGCGGCGCTTGCGTCGGTAGGCATAATGGATGGTAAAATGCGATTCCGAAGCTCCAGGGTGATCGAAACCCAGCAGAATCCACCACTTGTAACGGGGTTTATTTGTAGCGCAGAACACAGAAAGCGAAGCAGTCAGCAGCGTCCGGCCAAGCACAGCAAGCACAAGCTTATGCTGATGGCAATGCCCCTGATGCGCCGAGAAATGCCGCTGAAGCTCCTCTTCTTCACTACAGCATTAAAGTCTCCCATCAGTATAGTATACTGTGTTTTTACCTTACTCATTGCCAATTTCACATCTTCATAGAAGCTTTCAACTGAAGCATCATCATGGCTGAATGTAGACGTGTAAGCCTGTGTCATCTACATCTTGTATCTCTTATTGAGTTTAATTATGATACCTACCACCCTTTCATTAATGCTATAGTATTCCTCTATGTTGCCAGCTATGTTTCTGTGAATTAGGAACCACACTTCCAGATCTCTTCTGTCAGCCAAGCCCCGATAGCAAAGGAGGTGCCCATTCTGTAGCACCGTACAGGCTTCATTATTCCTCCTAACCTCACTGAGCCCTATTATATTCCATTTAACACCCTCTAGTTCCTCGAATAGTATAGCTAGACTTGCCTCACTAGATAAGGTTCTAGCGTTAAACGTTGCCAAGTTCAGGTTCCAATGGCAGCCTTGTCCAGATCCAGAGATTCTTAGCACCCTCTGCTGCATTGCAGATCTGACAGCTGCCATGGTCAGTTGCTTCGCAGCTGCTGGGACTGAGGTCCGTGAGTTAATTGACGTTTGCATGTGAGAGGTAGTGGCCAGATACTGCACCAGGGTGGCCAATCTTTCTTTGGTGAGAACCCCCCCATTAGCTCGGGTCCATGGTGCCGCTACACACCAAACGCCTGCTTACGCAAACGCCCCTGCGGCTCTGCAGAGAATAAGCAAGTGACAAAAATAACTTGGCAACCAGAGGCTGCAACCTAAAAAGAATTCTAGCTTCTTCGATACCTCTGATTTCATTACTCAGTATAGTTCGGCAAGCAAGCTCATTCTAGTGAACTGGATCCGTTTGTGTCAAATTGTTCTCACTGATGGTATAAACAACACACTTGGGAACAAAATTATTAGCAGAGAGTGCAAGGCATGTGTGTCTGTTCACTTCTGTTGTCGCAAACATCCTGCAGAGTTGTTTTGTTCATTGTAAAGCCAGCGTCAAAACTTTAGGGACCACAAAGCACAAGAAAGTTAATAATAATACTAACTGATGGCGTAAACATCTCAAAACCACAATACGATAATGAGAGGTGCCATAGCGGAGGGCTCTGCAAATTACAACCACTTGAGGTGCTTTAATGCACACCTAAATCTAGTACAACAGCCTCGAGCATTTTCGCCTTCACCGAAAATGCAGCCTCCATGGCCAGGATTCGATCCTACGACCTGCAGGTTAGCAGACGAGCACCATAACCACTAGACCACTGTGGCGGATCAGACTCAAGAAAGAGCTGGATATCCCCGCTGCTTTGGCAGGCAATCTCGGATTTCCGGCTTGCCCTAAAATGGACTAAAACACTGTATTGTGCAGTTCGACTGAATGCAGCTACTGAATTGCTGCAAAATTACTGACGAATGACTGTTCTAACACGCTAAGAATATTATAGGTAGAAAAAAGGGGAAGGGGGACTTACAGTTTCTTTAAGGATTCGGTTTTTGTGAAAGACGGCCATTCGTGGCTGGTTCCTACCCGTGACCATCATATTCCGACATCCCCTGGAAAAAAAACATTTGCAAATGAGTACAGCTGCAAAATAGAATGAATGTATGAAGTTCTTCAAGCATTGTTATTGGAAACTTCCGAAACAGTTTTTCAAATACATTTAGAGTCTGTTGAAACAAAATTTTAGTGTACCATAGTTATGCATGAAGCCAAGTAATTTGATATATTTTGACAAGGTGTAAGCTAGTTACGATCATAGAAGTTCACGGATTACGTTATGAAAGCTTTAGTTTCTTTGGAACTAAAATTTGATAGCAGTGGGTAGATGTGCAATGCATAAGCCATGGTGCTGCTAATGATGTTATTTTCTCAGACATTGGTGAAGCTTACTTCTGATGTTAAAATCTAAATGTTATGATTCCTCTCAGTAAACATTCCCAATATGAGTGCATAAATTTGATTGATTAATTTGTAGATTTAACATCCCCAAACCACCATATGATTATGAGAGACGCCGTAGTGGAGGGTCACCGAAAATTTCGAACCACCTGGGGTTCTTTACAGTGCGCCCAAATCTGAGCACATGAGCCTACAGCATTTTCGCCTCCATCAAAAATGCAGCTGCAGCAGCCGGGATTCGATCCCGTGACCTGAGGGTCAATAGCTGAGTACCTTAGCCACTAGACCTACAGCGGCGGGGCTGAGTGCATAAATTTGTTCCCTTGCCTCTTTCAGGTTAGTGCTTCATAGTTACTATTGTGCTTCTGGCAAGTAAAGTCCCAAACATTATGTAGATAAAGGGGTATTCTTTAAATGTCAAAGCAGTTTTGTTGCATGCACCGCTGGCACACTAATACAATCGGAACTCTGAAACTGTGAAAGCAGTAGACTTTCATCAAACTGAAACTCTCAAAGGATCAAAAAAATGTGTTCAGTGTAACAGGAGTTTCATTTACAGAGGGATGAACACGGGTGCAGAATGTGGATATGAAATCAATTAGACTAAAACCAGTTGTTCCATTTATTTTCAGTAGCATTTCCGTTTAGGATATATTTTCATTTACCAAGAGTCTACTGCACTAATGATTGCAAATGTCACACCAGTGATACAGTAGAGATAAAGCACTAACCTAAGAAAGCTTTTGAGCAGTGATATCTTGAGCATGATTGGATCTTCCAAGTATAATTGAAATGGTTTGGTATACTCAGAATGGCATTGTCATCTTTAGGATCAGGTAAGAAACTTGTACTTTGTCGTAGGGGCATTGCTGGTTTTGCACGATATCTGACTGTTGCTGGCTAATGTTTTGCAACATAAATAATGGCACAAAAACACTTGTGAAGCATCGACTTCTCCCCCCCCCCCCCCCCATTTTTTCCAGGATATGCTGTGAAACCAAAGTACGGAAGATACAGAAAGAAGGGCAACGCACTTGTCCACAGTGCAGGGGAGGATGTCGAGGTACGGAGTGAGGTTGTTGTCAATGTCGAGGTTCGATCCGCTGATGTAGAGACGAGTGCCTCGCGACTGGGGACCAGTGCAAGGTTGAATGTCACGAACCATGACTTGTTGGAACTGGAACTTCTTGTGCCCCTTTCTGATGCCAGCACGGATCCCAACGACCATGTCTACCATGAGCGGCGACCCACTTACTCCGGTCCTGCACACAACCCTGCGGAGGCAAAGCTCACTTGGGACAGAGTCACATAAGACACTAATAAAACACGTCTTTCATTTCCAACAATTTGTCATAAATTTTGCTCAGTACAGCTTAACTGATAGGAAATTGTATGAACGTTTGCTGTAGTTCACTGCAGCTTTAGTTTTGTGTTACTGCCTCTTCCAAGGAGGGAGGAATACTATTAAATGCAATCAGAAGAACAGAAAAAAATTAATGCCTAAAACATAAGCATGAAATATTAATCAAGGCAGCCGGCCATCAAGGGTGACCTAGGAAGTTATAATGAGCTGGTATTGCAGCATTGAAGAACTTGGGAAAAGCACCGATATGACATTAAAGCCCCGAGGTTAAATCAATTGTTTCTTGCTTTAGAATGAAACAACATAAATGCTTACCTCACTGAGAAGTTGTATTCAGTGGAAATGCAAGGGATTCCACCAATCTTGACCTTATCATAGATCTCTTGGCTCGTTTCCAGGTTGGCTCCCTTCAATTGTCACCTGCATTCCACCTTCAATGGGCCCTCTCAAAGGAATGAATCTGCAATGAGCATAAAACACATAAATCTAATCAGCCTACTTTCACAAATTCTATTGAACGTTAAAACACTTAGGTGGTTAATACACGATGAGCACAACATGTAGTGTCTATAGATCCCTGCACATCAGACGCTACCGTAGGTCAACAAAACTTGTGGAGGTCACTCAGACTCACTCATGAAATATATTTTGCCCTTGGGACTCACTCTGACTCACACTAACGAAAATTTTCTTCAATGGGACTCATTCGAACTCAAATTGCCATATCATTACTCCCCTGGACTCACTCAGACTAACCAAAATATTACTCAGCCCGGACTCACTCAAACTCCGACTTACAGCTCAATCTGAGTCTGAATGAGTCCGAGTGAGTGTACTGGTGAGTTTGCCGACCTATGGGCGCTACGGCAACTACTGATCCACCAATATTAAGGGGGGATGAATAGCACAGACAGGTGCGCAACTGCTACTGCCCAACGCTCTGTTATATTTAGAGCACGGCCTTACAAAACTTCGCAACTTACTTGAATGGGAGTTTTAGCTACATGTTTTGTGAATTTGTTAAGAAAATACAAGGCCATTCTAAAAATAAATGAATTAATTGTCTGGCTATATTTTTGAAGGAACATTGGTAAAAAAGATTTTTCGTGTAAAACGGTGAAATCTCTTCTGGTTATTACATGTGCCCGGGGTATCCTTCTAAACCAAGATAAGAAGTGTTGGCACATGACCATTCTTTAGTTAAAAATATAAACGTTATATGGCTAGAATCTGAGGGCTGTTTTCTTGATAAAAAAAACTTTAGTAAAGAATACAATTCTGGTGGAAACAACATTCCTTTGCTTTAGAAAGTGTGCATGGTATTAAAAAAAGTAGTAATAAAAATTTGCATTTGGTAGCTTCAACTGTTACAAAGAAAATGTTCCTTTTTCTGATGAAAAGTAGTGTTTGGAGAAAACAAAAAACGCCATTAAAAGTTCGAGTTGCCGCAGTGCAAACATAGGATTAGACATGTTTGGGGATGTTTTGAAACGCTTTCCACTGCACACGAAGGCTTGCCACTTCGTGGAGGCATTTGTCAGTTATGCTGGAATGGTCTGCCATGAAAATTGAAAAATCACATTTTCAGCTATATTGCCCTCCATCCCCCCTTAATTTTTATATGGAGAGAGGTGATTTACAGGTTAAATGGGAGGCTATGTTTCATTAGTCCATATGTCTGTTGATACATACTTGCCACTTGGAATTGCAATAAAGATGGCTTCATGTTTTGCTCGCAGCTGTGGTGAACGTATCTATACCTGGGGGTTACTACAAACAAATAAATGTGACATGAAAAAGGAAACCACTGTGTGTAATTACACTCCAAGTGAGCAACATAATATGTGGGGATCGCTGCTTCATCTAAGCACAGATAATTAATGTACACAGACCGCCCGAGAAGTTTGCCTTGCATGGGCTCCATAAGCCCAAAGAATGCAAAACAGCACGACGCGAAAAACTCGCTGTCAGACGCAAGGACGCATCTTTCCGCGCCAACGAGAGCTCACACTCGAACGCTGACACGTCGCGCGCGCGTCAAGTAGAGAACCGGTAATTTTAAGAAACGCGCGTCGCCGAGAGATCCGTAAGTAAATAAACAGGAAAACTAACGCCGTCGCGCAGGGTCGCAATTTGATTACGTGCGCCCTTCTAGGGAGCAGGCGAAGACTAACGAGAGAGACCGCCTCGCCGCAGGGACAACGGCAAAACTTTTTCAGCGGCGCGCTCTCCTTGAGCGCGATTAGATTTGCGGCGGTGCGGTTGATTGGGCGCCCGGCGCGCCAGAACGGCGCTTATGCGCATGTCTCTCCCAATAATCTTTCCCTACCTCATTCGCGTTACAGATTAATATCTTGATCTCTTTTTATCCGAGCCATCCAGGGAGTTTAGTTATCTGGTTCAGTAGATTAGTTATAGCTGACGCCGCGAGCACTGCTACTCGGTCTCTGCTTGAAGCACTCGGTTTGGTCAAGTTGGAAGTATGGTCCCTAGGATATTCTAGGGGACCATAGTAAAGGAGCAAGCAAGCGCTCTGTAAGCGGTCCATACGGCACAGTTTTACTTGCATCACGGAGGAAAGGAAAGGTACCTTTCCTTCCTCCGTGACTTGCATCAAGCGATGCCTGTCTCAATCTAGGCGTAACCATTGCGCTCTTTCGGTTTCGGCGGCGTAAAAGAGCGAGGGATTGTGGGATGCACCGTCTGCTGCCGGCTTCCGGTTCGAGAAGAGCAGACGACGACGAACCGCTCCGCCGCAAGCCTCAGAATATTCGAGATTCGCGCGCGTGGTCACCCGTTTATTTCTTCCTAATAAACCATGGGCGGTTGTCCAGTCGTTGGCTGCTCCAACTCGAGCGTGAAAAGCAAACGAAGGTATCGATTCTCATGGAACTAAGAAAGAAAAACGAGGTGGGCCCCGGCTGTGAAGAGAGCCACAGCGACAGGTAGCCTTTGGATACAGAACGTTGAAGCCAGAGTGTGCGAAGGCCATTTTATCACAGGTACATGTGTATTCCGCACTAATAAAAAGCTTACGCATGAATTTGCTGCGAATATTATGTTGAGAAATAAATTGTCACGCAGGCACGCCCAGCAAAGATATTATGAGAACGCGCGGGTGAAATCTACCTGCCATACGAGATGAGCGCCGGTCATTGCACACATAACACGAAAAACGTGAAAGCTTCACTCAAGAGTAAGTTTACACGAAGCGACGGAAGAGTCCATTTGCGTTTATCTTGGTCAAACTGTGCGCCAGGACGGCACACAAAGGAATAATTATTAAGTGCGTTAAACAAGCGCAGGGTTTCGATTACTCGGTGCCGTCTATGTCTGACTGTATTGCTTATGTGCCGCCATGCCGCGCAGCTCAACCAAGATCAGCGTTCAAATAAGCCTCTGGCCTCCACTAAGAAATGTATCTTATAGCGCACTGAAGGCTAGAAAAAAAAAAAGATATCTCAACACGCTCAATAAGTTCAACGCTTCATGCCAATCGACCGACGATGTCGGCCGAAGCAGCGATCCCAAAATGAACTTTCAGCACACTGCTACAGTCATCTCCATCCCCTGATATCTTTAAAATGGTGCTTTTTGTCTGCAGTAACATATCATACAATGAAAACTGTCTTCTGTATCGACTGATCTGCTAGCCAAAGTGACAGTACACACGAGCAGCGTAAAAGCATTGCAAATCATTTTAGTGCAATAAAAGGTTTCCTTACAGTTCATGGTTTTCGTAGCTTGTCATCGTCGCAGTCACGGTTAAACATAAACAAAAAACCAACTTCTAAAGAGAGAGAGAGAATGAACATTTGTTAATAACAAATGCACACTGAGCCTTCTTTGGGTGGGGCCCTCAGTCCAGGGCTTCATTGCCTTGCGCGACCCTGCGAACTTCTAAAGCACTGAAATTGGACGGAGAGGTGCTTTTTTTCAAAGCTGTACAAAAATATGCGCGCGTGCCGTTGCTAACCAGCGTGGTGCGTCGAACCGGAAGCCGTCGTATCCCACAGTTCCTTGCGATTGCCCATATTACTGATCACCTATTGGTCAGGTTGGTTAAAGCCCCTAGGGGCTTTGGTATACTGCATCAAAATTATCCAAGGCCAGGTTTCTTACAACTCAAAGCGGTCACGGGCGCTGCAGCGGAACGCCTTCGATTCCATGATTTCACCCGACCACCTGAACCTACTTCAAATTAAAACCTACTGTAAAACCTACCTGAACCTACTGCAATTAAAGGTTCATTTATTTCTTCGTTTATATCCGCATTAGATGTGTCTATAGTCATCTCTTAATGTTAGCTGCCACGGAAAAAAAAAGTAGTTGAGAAAGCAGCGGCAAATATTCTATTCCCGCATTTTTCATGCACAATTCTTGAAACACCGTACGCAGATGCTGGTGCTTCTCGAAAGCATGTGGAGGCGACACGCACTCGCAGGAACATTCAATTCAACCCCCTCTCCCTCCCAGTGTTAACGTGAACGCATGTCACTCTATTGCACTTGGCCACGCGCTGCCGCGGTGAAGTTCGTACTGAGCGCGATGGAACCTAAGATCCCTTGTGCATAAACAGGTGTTTTTTCACGACTTCATCTCTATCCAAATGCGGTTATACCGTGGCGTCATGGAGCTTATATGAGCACAACACCAAGAGCTTTACCGGACTTCTTAAGCTGTGGGGCTGCATATACATATTTACAATATCATTTCTTTATTTACGGCATACATTCGTTTCCTTCGAAAAAGAAACAAACAAAATGTTGAGTTCATTCCACTCTGTGAAGGCGGATCACCAATCCCGCTTCAACCAGCACTCATTAGCGTTTTGTATGAGCACGCTGCTTTTCGGGCGTTCTCACAATAAGCCTTCGACCCAACACACGCGGAGGAGATTGGCATCGCTGTGGCTCTCACCTATCCCTCTTCGAAACATATAATCAATTCATCACTGATATCGCGAGGGACCTGTCGGAACTATGAGCTAGGGTGGGCTTCCCCGCTTGCTCAGCGCATACTGGAACCTAACTGCCGATACGTTAACCCAACTCCGCGTAATCTGGTTTGGGCACCCGGTCACCAAGGGCTCAGCGGAAACGAACAGGCTGATCAGGCCGCCCACGCACTCTCTTCCCGGGCTACCTCCCTGTCTGTGGAAGCCTACTCCCAATCAAACAATTTGGACTTTTCATTCAAAGACGTCACCAATCGCTACAAGGAGGAGCACCGGCGCTATCCGGACCCTTCTAAGGGACGTACTGGATCGCGATGACGAGCGCCTCCTTTTAAAATTGTTTACCAATACTGTACTTTGCCCGACTGTGCTAAAGCATTACAATTCATCCTTTGATGGCACGTGCCAGTTCTGTGGAGAGGTGGCTGACACCTTCCACATAGCCTGGACCACGGCCGGTCTGGAGGCGCGCGCTCTCTTTCCTTACGGCCTGAGCAGC